AGATAGATAGATAGATAGATAGACAGACAGATAGATAGATAGATAGTTCATACAGAAAATCATTCATTCAAAGTATGGAACAGTCAATGTCACTGGAATGGTAACAAATACTGTGCATTTTCATCAACGAAGTGGAGAAATGTTTTTTAAATCAGGGGATATTAACCCTTTACAGTAAAGTATGGATCTGCACTTAGTCCCAGTGATGTGCGGTGAGGTTCATGGCTGGTGAGGCACTGACTCCTCTGAAGTCAGATTTACAATTGTAATAACTGAAAAGAGCACCTTATTTCACTATCCATCCAACAACATGCACCTGGTAATGCTTTATATCCCATCAGCATTCCTCTTTCATTTACACTTACAGCAACACAAATATATATGCACAGGAACATATTTGTCCTAAAAAAACAAACCCGTTTATTTTATAGGAATGGATAGAGCACCCTTCTTGTGTCTAAGCAATTCATATTTACTGTAAACAAACTGAAGTATAGAGATGAGTGCAGCACAAATTTTTATTTTTGACCTTCAGACGCCCCCTTGAGGTGAGGCAGAGTACTGCCTGCCTCCCCTGCTGACTTTTCTCTGCACTTTATTGTATGCTGTATAACAAATATTTTTGTAGAGTCATACTGAAAATGCATCTATAACACAGATCGGTGGACAACATTCATATTTATTTTATGTACTTGTTTTCTTTTTTTATCAGCCACCCCTCCCCCCGATCGCATGTCACTGCTTTGCTCTCTATATCTACAGTGAGGAAACGACATATGAAATGTTTCCTGTAAATCAGAGGTTCACAACCACAGGGTCCAGGACCCAATTCAGCATCAGTGGGTCACGGCCTGGGTTTTATTGATTATCAGTGTGAAAATTGATCGGGTTCTGTCCGAAAATTTCTAAACGCCTTTTGAGTCTTTTCAGAATAAAAATCTTTTTCGAGCTACTTTAAAGGGTTAAAAGGTCACAGAGAGGACAGAAGAGAGCTTGAAAATAGAAGACGTTGACAGTTCTACCAAAAGAACTGTTTGATCACCAACAGCTGGTACCAGGACTGTTGTAGCTAATGTTAGCTATGGTGTCTGTACCAGGACTGTTGAAGCTAATGTTATCTCTGGTGTCTGTACCAGGACTGTTGTAGCTAACATTAGCTCTGGTGTCTGTACCATAACTGTTGTAGCTAATGTTAGCTCTGGTGTCTGTCCCAGGACTGTTGTAGCTAATGTTAGCTCTAGTGTCTGTACCAGGACTGTTGTAGCTAATGTTAGCTCTGGAGTCTGTACCAGGACTGTTGTAGCCAAAGTTAGCTCTGGTGTCTGTACCAGGCCTGTTGTAGCTAATGTTAGCTCTGGTGTATGTACCAGGACTGTTGTAGCTAATATTAGCTCTGGTGTCTGTACCAGGACCGTTGTAGCTAATGTTAGCTCTGGTGTATGTACCAGGACTGTTGTAGCTAATATTAGCTCTGGTGTCTGTACCAGGACCGTTGTAGCTAATGTTAGCTCTGGGGTCTGTACCAGGACTGTTGGAGCTAATGTTAGCTCTGGTGTCTGTCCCAGGACTGTTGTAGCTAATGTTAGCTCTGGTGTATGTACCAGGACTGTTGTAGCTAATGTTAGCTCTGGAGTCTGTACCAGGACTGTTGTAGCTAATATTAGCGCTGGTGTCTGTACCAGGACTGTTGTGGCTAATGTTAGCTCTGGTGTCTGTACCAGGACTGTTGAAGCTAATGTTATCTCTGGTGTCTGTACCAGGACTGTTGAAGCTAATGTTATCTCTGGTGTCTGTACCAGGACTGTTGAAGCTAATGTTATCTCTGGTGTCTGTACCAGGACTGTTGTGGCTAATGTTAGCTCTGGTGTCTGTCCCAGGACTGTTGTAGCTAATGTTAGCTCTAGTGTCTGTACCAGGACTGTTGTAGTTAATGTTAGCTCTGGTGTCTGTACCAGGGCTGTTGTAGCTAACGTTAGCTCTGGTGTCTGTACCATGTCAAATATGTCATATATTTTCACATGAGTGAAAAAGGTCTTCACTGTGGACACTTTATTCAAACCCCCTTCTTACACATCTACACTACGGACGCTAAAATGTATCTTTTTAAAGATGTTCCTTTGTCACACGTTAGACATAACAACTTCCGACGTGTCTTTATGTTTACAACGAAACACTACATCACTCTTTCTAATGTCGCTGTTATAAATTGGTTTGTGGAAACAAATGACACTTGTTCATTTGTTTCCATCTCAAACTAAACACAGGAGTAGACCCAAAAAAAGTGCAAAGGTTAAGTCCTGCTTTTGCTCCTCACAGCGAATTTTCATGAGGGAAAAAAAACGAGACAAACGACAACCAACAAACAAGCACAAACCCTGGCACAACGACCAGGAGCAGTGTGTCTGTGTGTGTGTGTGTGTGTGTGTGTGCAGTAAAACAGAGGGTGGTAGCTGCTCAGTCCAGAGCAGAGGGAACCTCAGGCTAATGAACAGACTAATGATCATTAATAAGAGCGGTAGTCAGAGCTGGTCTGGGGCCAGTGAATGAGCTAACACCGGCCGCTCAAACACACTCCGGTGGGTTTGTAAACGCCGTCACCTGCTGGGCTGTTGCTGTGGCAACAATGGTGTAAATACCACACTGGCACCTCCAGCTGCAGAGGCCATAAATCATCGCTCAAACGCCTCACTCTCTGACCGCCAACTCTGGCTTGTTTGGTGGGGACTTTAAGAAATTAAAAACAAACGTGTTTGCTGGGTCAGGCTAAAAGCAGCAGAGAAAGGGGCGAGGGCCTCAGCGTGCTGGGTCAGGCTAAAAGCAGCAGAGACGGCGAGGGGCGAGGCACACTCACCTGTAAATGAGGAAACTGGAGATTCCAAAGATGATCAGAGCCAGTCCAGAACCCACAGCTACAATCCCAAGGACTGGCAGATGGTCTGGAGACAGAGACAGATAGTCACTGCTTCATGTGTTTTGGATAGGATTTTACATTGATAAAAAAAAAAATTGTAATTACAGTGAAATGGCTTGTTAGAAAAAAAAAAGAGGAAGTCGTACCGTCGATACAGGTGGGGTCATCTTTGGAAAACACACAGGGGGGGTTGTCCAGTGGTGGTGCCCCGCCCAGCCACTGGATCTTCTCTGTCTGGGACCAAATGATGTCTCTGGTGGTTCCGTTGTAGTACGCAACCAGCTGCAGACCCACAACAAACCAATGAATTACAAAATAATGCTAAAGAAGAAATACATTTACTTGGAGGCTGTTAGTTAATTGTTGCTATTATTAGTGATTAATCACTAAGTTTATTAAAATGGCAGAGTTTGACACAATAAGCGACATTTTGCAATTTAAAACATCGGTGACTGGTCGTCAGGTTAATAAGGAATAACATTTACTTTCATACTTTGTATCGTTCCTCTGTCAACTACAAATTCACGGTAGAATTTCAGCTGTTATATTGAACACTACACACTACTATATTGAACAGACATTTGCTCTGAACCCTGTCATCTGGTCTACTGTGGACTGGATACACTATTGGCCAGTACCTGGACTGTTGTAGCTGACGTTAGCGCTGGTGTCTGTACCAGGACTGTTGTAGCTAATGTTAGCTCTGGGGTCTGTACCAGGACTGTTGAAGCTAATGTTAGCTCTGGTGTCTGTACCAGGACTGTGGTAGCTAATGTTATCTCTGGTGTATGCACCAAGACTGTTGTAGCTAATGTTAGCTCTGGTGAATGTACCAGTACTGTTGTAGCTAATGTTAGCTCTGGTGTCTGTCCCAGGACTGTTGTAGCTAATGTTAGCTCTGGCGTCTGTACCAGGACTGTTGAAGCTAATGTTAGCTCTGGTGTCTGTACCAGTACCGTTGTAGCTAATGTTAGCTCTGGTGTCTGTCCCAGGACTGTGGTAGCTAATGTTATCTCTGGTGTATGCACCAAGACTGTTGTAGCTAATGTTAGCTCTGGTGAATGTACCAGGACTGTTGTAGCTAATGTTAGCTCTGGGGTCTGTACCAGGACTGTTGTAGCTAACGTTAGCTCTGGTGTCTGTACCAGGACTGTGGTAGCTAATGTTATCTCTGGTGTATGCACCAAGACTGTTGTAGCTAATGTTAGCTCTGGAGTGTGTACCAGGACTGCTGTAGCTAATGTTAGCTCTGGTGTCTGTCCCAGGACTGTGGTAGCTAATGTTATCTCTGGTGTATGCACCAGGACTGTTGTAGCTAATGTTAGCTCTGGTGTCTGTACCAGGACTGTTGTAGCTAATGTTAGCTCTACCAGGACTGTTGAAGCTAATGTTAGCTCTAGTGTATGTTACAGGACTGTTGTAGCTAATGTTAGTGTTGGTGTCTCTACCAGGACTGTTGAAGCTAATGTTAGCTCTAGTGTATGTTACAGGACTGTTGTAGCTAATGTTAGTGTTGGTGTCTCTACCAGGACTGTTGAAGCTAATGTTAGCTCTAGTGTATGTTACAGGACTGTTGTAGCTAATGTTAGTGTTGGTGTATGTACCAGGACTGTTGTAGCTAATGTTAGCTCTGGTGTCTGTACCAGGACTGTTGTAGCTAACATTAGCTCTCGTGTCTGTGCCAGAACTGTTGTAGCTAACATTAGCTCTGGTGACACCCACCGTGGATCAGAAAGGACAGAAATGTCATTTGTGCTGTATGTATGGCATATTTGACAATAAAGTTGTCTTGACTTGACTTGAGCTAATGATGTGATCAGAAAACTCATGGTTAAACAACATTACCGCCACCTACAGGTTTGGAGGGTGTGCACCATCATTACAAACACTTCTCACACCTGAAAAAAAAAAACCCACAGTAACATCAACGCCTTGCTGTTTTTCTGTAAACATCTTGACTGTTCAGAGAGTCCGTCGTCAGGATTGACCAACGTCTGGCGCAGCTTTATTTTGACAGTGCAGGTTCACCAGCAACATCTGTGGTCCTGCTGTGAAACATGACTCTGCTCATCAGACCTTATTCTGGTTTTGGCCCCTCCCCCCACCCCACCCTCATCCTCTTTTATGAGTCCTTGAGGGCAGGAATGATGGACCCCCAACAAAGGGCCATCAAAACAATGCAGGCTATGACAGTGCAGGGGCCGAGGCTATGCTGAAATAGATGGCAGTATTTCAGTGTTCTGTGTGTTTTTAAGTGCTAAAAATAAAACATCCAACTGTGCACCTGGAACTTCCACTGAAGCAGTGGAAACCTGCAAAACAGAGCACAGAGTACGAACTAGTGAAAAATATCCGCTGTAGGTCTGGAAGCTAAAGGATCAAATGTCCTGGAATTGTTGCCTTCTCACTACAAGTCCTTTTACATTCATTTATTCATTCATTTCCCACTACTTTCTCACGCCATTTTCTCGGTCGCGGGTCTGGGTTAGCTAAGGCTGTGCTCAGTTTACATCGAACTCGAAGTCCATACAGAGAGACCAAGGATTGGTCAGCAAGCTGGTGATCTTCTTGCTATAAGGCAGTACTTTTTCAAATAGTGGGGCGGTTGCCCGATGCTGAATTTGCTGAATTCCTGTATGGATGGATTTTTGGTCTAATGACAAACTGGGAAAATGTCTTCAAACATAAACAATGACTCGTGACTCAGCCTGACTTCATCTGCTTTGTATCTGTTTTCCCATAGCAAAGTCCATATGTCATCACTCATTGATTAACTGTCAGGATCCGTCCTGTGTTGCTTTATGATACCCGCCATCTGGCCTATTAGATGACAGGCGACAAACAACATCCTCCTCGATGTACAGTTAGCCGAAACCTTCGACTGATGACTTTTGACCAGGCAGCTGGCAAAAGACGGTTAATCTCCACCAATAAAAGTCTCTGGATCAATGTGAGCAGGAAGCCATGTGGGCAGACTGCGATAAACGCTGTGAAAATGTAACTGCCGTCAAGTCCCTACACAGTCCTGGTGTCTGTACCAGGACTGTTGTAGCTAATGTCAGCTCTGGTGTCTGTACCAGGACTGTCGTAGCTAATATTAGCTCTGGTGTCTGTACCAGGAATGTTGTAGCTAAGGTTAGCTCTGGTGTCTGTACCAGGACTGTCGTAGCTAATATTAGCTCTGGTGTCTGTACCAGGACTGTTGTATCTAACGTTAGCTCGGGTGTCTGTACCAGGACTGTTGTAGCTCATGTTAGCTCTGGTGTCTGTACCAGGATTGTTGTAGCTAACGTTAGCTCTGGTGTCTGTACTAGGACTGTTGTAACTAACGTTAGCTCTGGCGTCTGTACCAGGACTGTTGTAGCTAATGTCAGCTCTGGTGTCTGTACCAGGACTGTTGTATCTAACGTTAGCTCGGGTGTCTGTACCAGGACTGTTGTATCTAACGTTAGCTCGGGTGTCTGTACCAGGACTGTTGTATCTAACGTTAGCTCGGGTGTCTGTACCAGGACTGTTGTATCTAACGTTAGCTCGGGTGTCTGTACCAGGACTGTTGTAGCTAATGTCAGCTCTGGTGTCTGTACCAGGACTGTCGTAGCTAATATTAGCTCTGGTGTCTGTACCAGGAATGTTGTAGCTAAGGTTAGCTCTGGTGTCTGTACCAGGAGTGTTTTAGCTAATGTTAGCTCTGGTGTCTGTCCCAGGACTGTTGTGGTTAATGTTAGCGCTGGTGTCTGTACCAGGACTGTTGAAGCTAATGTTAGCTCTGGTGTCTGTCCCAGGACTGTTGTGGTTAATGTTAGCGCTGGTGTCTGTACCAGGACTGTTGTGGTTAATGTTAGCGCTGGTGTCTGTACCAGGACTGTTGTGACTTCCACACAGCAGCCATCAGACACACGCAGCGGCAAAGCCTGAGGTTTTAAACTGCCTGCAACTAGTTATCTCGAAAAACACGTTCAATTAGGATCTCATTAAGACAATAAGTGTGTATCATTTCCTTTGTTCTGCTAGAGAAACAGAGTCCAAGAGCGCACGGACCTTGTCCCCCGAAGAGGAGGATACGACAATAAAGACTTACATTACCATGTCCTCCTGACCACAGTTATGGCCACTGACATGTCTGTAACCCTTCTGCTGTTCTTACGCCAACCGCTAACAAATAAACTGCATTTTAAATCCAGTGGTTTAAACCATGATAGGAAATGAACCTCTTGCCCCAGAAATATGAAATATGTCTCAGGGGCTTTTAGGACCATCTTGACATTTTTTACCATTTCTGCAATCACTTCAAAAGCTAAAGCTACATAGATAGCTGGAACTTCAATCAATCATCGGAAGTTCCCCTCAATCACTTCAAAAGCTAAAGCTACATAGACAGCTGGAACTTCAATCAATCAATCGTCGGAAGTTCCCCTCGTAAAATTGAGGCTGTGCTAACTATGGCTAACTATTTTCCTGCAAAAAAAATATTTGGTTGTCTTCTGCTCACATCAAAGCTATCTTTGTGACTGAAGTCTTAATGGTTCTTTTTGGTTAACCTCAAGCTCTTCCATCGCCAAAGTCACAAGCTTGAGGAACTCTCTCTGTCAGCGATGTTCGCTAAGTCCAACTGAAAATGTCTTTCGGACATTTTCACTGTCTCGGGACTAACTTGAAAGCTGTCCAGTTGGACAGCTAAAACTAAATGAGTTAACTGTCTAAATCGTGAGGGCTTTTTTAGATTTGTTTTGCTAATTTTTGACGAGCGTTGGTTAGCTGGGGTTGTTGTTTGTTTGGTTTACTTGAGTGTTTTGTCAGCAGAACCGAGTAGCTAAATTAGCTTACTTCATTATATCCTAGCTTACTAATCTTTTGATCAGTTTTCACCTTGCCTTTTCAGCAAATTGTTATATTTTATGGTACTTTAAATAATTTGCATTTGAAGTTATTTTAGGGCTATTATGTCTAAATGTGTCCATTTTAGCTATATAGCTATATAGCTAATTTCTGACATTTTATTTTTGTTCATGCTATTTTGTCATATTTTTTGTTAGCCGAATCTGTTATTGTACTATTTTTGGGGCATATTTCACTTATACTTGACTGATTTATCTTGCTTTCGTTTAAGGCTAATCTGGATATAGTTTGCTTTCTTGAACTATTTTAGGTCTAACTTTGTTTAAATATTTGGCTTTAAAATGTACCTTTAAATACATTGTTGACTCAATTTTTTTAAACTTTTGGGACCACATTTTTTTTATATTTTTTATATTCTTTAGCAAAGTTGCTTTTGTTATCTGTCTTTTTTTTTTATTTTTTTTATCTCCCCTTTGAGTCCACTCTTAGCTTTTACGGAGCTTTTTCTAAATGTAGTTTTTTTGGGAAAATCTATTTTCAAAGGTTACTCACCCCATACTCCCCTGTGTTCTGGTCCGTCATTGCCCACACGTCCACATCTATGTCCCGGGCATTTTTGTGATCTGTGGTCACGAGTCCAGTCACGCCTAAAAAAATCAATCAAAGACCATGGTGTAAAGCGGCGTCTGATGTCACAACCAGAATTCTGGGCGTAAAACATCCTCACTATGACCGTAATATCAGTTTAACCAAAAACAGACGGCGTCGGGAATTGCTTTTAGCAAACATCAGTTTAAAGATAAGATAATCCAGCCTATTTTAACCCCTTGTGCGCTGTCCTTCACATTTTTGTACACATTGTATATCTTGGGTCTAGACCCGAAGGACCTTACAAGGGTTAAGATGTTGTAAGATGTAAGATCGGGGCCTGAAACGTCCCCACGACATTTAATTTTCTTCTCACGCACGACATGGACTAAAACAGAAAATTACAACAACAAAAAAAAAAAAAAAAAAATCCTAAAAGAATCAGAATCTCATCTCCTACAAAACTCTAAAGGTTCCGAAACCGTGGTTGATTTTCTGAATTGCATTTTGAAGAGTCCGATTTTTTTAGCAGAGGTGGAAAGTAACAAATTACATTTACTCCCGTTACTGGTTGAGTAGTTTTAGTAGAGTAATTTGAAATACTCTGAGTAGTTTTGGGAAAATTGGTATTTTTTAACTAGTTTTTACAAGTACATTGTGACATGAGTATTTTCAGTTTGCCACATTTGGAAAATTTGGGGAGAAAAACAATCTGCGTTAACTGAAAGAAAACTGTGTGGGGAAATTTTTTCGCTATTTTACTGTAGCCGTAGAACGTAGACGAAGATACAGCCTCACTAGCCGGTTGTTGGACGACGGCTGGTGCCGACCAACAAATGGAAGTTGAGTATCAGGCAGCTCCTTGTTTTTTTTTTCGAATGCAAAATAACTTTATTATAACGATGCAAAATGTGTCCACCCAGGTGGACAGAACCGTCACTGTCAAAACCCAAGTGTCCTTTAGTGGCTTTGCATCATCATAGTATTCTCAATTCCGTTTTCGGATAGTTGGATGTTGGACTCCTCTTTTAGCGTCGACGAATTTAAAGTAACGTTAAAGTAGCTTTTACTCAAAGTAAATCTCGAAGTAGTTTTTAAAAATATTTGTACTCACTTGAGAAGCTTTTTCGATGGGTGCTTTTTTTTTTACTTTTACTTGAATTTAAGCAAAGAGCTACTTTTACTTAATTACATTTTTTTTTAGTATTTTTTTTTTTCCTCCTGTGATGTTTTCTTCGACATTAACCAACCTGTCAAAAAGGTCAAAACAGTATGGGGGTTGGGCGGGGTTGGGGGGGGGGCTTTCAATGGAATATAGCAAGCTGGACATAAGTGTACCACTGCTGTAATGCTTGGATGATAACAAGCCTCCAGCCACTAGGTGGCAGCAACTAGGGGACATGACAGAAAACTATTGAGAACCACTGGTTCTAGAATGTGACAGAAAATAATTGAGAACCACTGGTCCTAGAATGCTGTAAAGATATTCCAGACCTGTTGTTGTGATTTTAAATTTATAGTACTTTTCTAAAGCACCTTTCCTTACATGACAATAGTTTATGCTAATTTACTGTGCGGCGACTTGCGGCGGCGGCGCTAGTGAATGCAGCTACATTTAAATGACGAGACGGCGGCGTCGGCCTTCAAATGCAGGCTCTGTTTCTTCTCTCTCTCTTACGCCGCCGTCCAACCCATTGTTGCGCTGCCGTCAGCAGGACGTGAACGGCGACAGAGTGTTCGTCTGAAAGCAGGGAGGCGTGAAAGCAGACGGATCGGACGGACCGCTAACCGTTCGGTGACGCTGTAATTACGATGGTGGAACGCCGCAAATGCTGCCTCACTGCACCGTTAGCAGAACAGGTCGTTGAACCCGCACACGCGCACGCACGCGGGCCTGTTTGCTGGAGTGCGCTGTTCTCCGAAACTAACTGTGTTTTTTTTTTTCCAATGGGGCTTAAAGCAGATTCGTTAGCGTCAGGTTAAAAAACGTTGAGTGCACGTGAAACGCTCACCCCAGAATCTGCGGTTCTGCGTCCTCATGGTGATGTTGATGCCATCGTTCTGGGCCCCGCCCATTGCAAGCGTCTCCTCAAGGGCCCGCGCGTACAACACGAAGCCGTCGTAGAAGCTTCCGGCGATGTAGTCCATCTGCCAAGAGTTGCGGAGGTGACGAAAAACGACAACGTCAAGCACAGAATGGAAATCGATTTTTGTAAAGAATCTGTCTGATTTAGGGTGATTAAAAAAAAAAAAAAAACAACTATTTTGAAATGATTCCCAAAAAGCAGATTCAGAGGTTAACAATGGTTAGGAGCTAGGATCTGGTTCAGCAAGGTCTTAGGTTCAACTCCCAAGCCCTTGAGCAGCCCATATTGGCATCACAGTCAGGAAGCAGATGATGTCTTAAAGAGAGTTCTTAAAAAGGGATGACTTACCAAGGACGGTTCCAAGTGGACTCCAAAATCCCTCTTAGCTCTGGCATGAAGTTTCTTCTGGAAGACCTTGAATTCGGGATTGTCAGGTAGTCGGTATGTGATCACGAAAACAGACTGGAGGAGACACAGGGAGGAAAGAGACCAAAAAAAAAATCAGGGCAAACCCACATCATTAAAGACCGCACGCTGAAAACAGACCTTCAGTCAATACTGGAGTAAGACCGCAGAGACCACAGCAGCTACAGCGAAGGACGCAGGGACACAGGGAGTCAGAACCCACTCCAGTCAGTCACTGTCTGTGAACACTGGCTGTGAGGAGTCCAGGATCTGAAACGTACGCTAAACTCCAGAAACTCCAAGATGTCAAATCTGATGTGTGATCAAAGTGTCCAAAAAAAAAAACATGAATTTCAAGCACATTTCGTTTGAACATCCAAACCTACCGTCATTTCCGGACTATAAGACGCTACTTTTTCACACACTTTGGACGCTGCGGCTTCAACAATGATGCGGCTAATTTATGGATTTTTACAAGCTAACGAAGTTCATACCGCTAGCGATCAGTGACTAATCTGGTAGGCTACTGTGTGTAGTGTATGTGTGTGGACATGACGGTAGCGAAAGAAGTTGAGAGCAGTTTGAGCCCCTGTCATGTTGAAGTGTGAGTTGGTTATACAGGAGCTGTTAAAACTCTGTTTATGTTCTGTTGTGGTCAGTGTGGCTGATAATAAAGACCCCAACTTCACTGTTTCTGTTTACCTCTGCTGTGGACAAGCACAAAGTGAAGGGAGTTAGCCCCGGAGCTAATGTTAGCTTCAGCCCCGGAGCTAATGTTAGCTTCAGCCCCGGAGCTAATGTTAGCTTCAGCCCCGGAGCTAATGTTAGCTTCAGCCCCGGAGCTAATGTTAGCTTCAGCCCCGGAGCTAATGTTAGCTTCAGCCCCGGAGCTAATGTTAGCTTCAGCCCCGGAGCTAATGTTAGCTTCAGCCCCGGAGCTAATGTTAGCTTCAGCCCCGGAGCTAATGTTAGCTTCAGCCCCGGAGCTAATGTTAGCTTCAGCCCCGGAGCTAATGTTAGCTTCAGCCCCGGAGCTAATGTTAGCTTCAGCCCCGGAGCTAATGTTAGCTTCAGCCCCGGAGCTAATGTTAGCTTCAGCCCCGGAGCTAATGTTAGCTTCAGCCCCGGAGCTAATGTTAGCTTCAGCCCCGGAGCTAATGTTAGCTTCAGCCCCGGAGCTAATGTTAGCTTCAG